GGAATGAAGAGGAAATCCAGACTTTCTCAGATGACTGGAAGCTAAAAGAATTTGTCACTCAGCAGACTTACCCTTAAAGAATGGCTAAGAGAAGTTCTTCTATCAAAAAATGAATGCTAAAGGAAGGAATCAGGGAGCATCAGGAAAGAAAAAAAATGGAAAGAGCAGAAATATGGGCAAATACAATTGACTACACTTATCCTCATGAGTTTTACAAGTATATAATGTTCCCCATTTGTCCAATATGATGTTTTATCTTGAATCTACTTTTATTAATAATAACATTGTGGTCTGGGTATTCTTTTAATTCATATTTGCCTGATATACCTTTTGCCATCACTTTGTTTTTAATCTTTCTGTGTTGCTTGGTTTCTGATGTAAAGAACATATTGCTGCATCTTAGGGTTTGTCTTTTGTGGGGTTTTATTCCATTTGTCTGTTTCTTTTTAATTTAAACTGAAGTTCTCTGCCTTTTGATCAGTAGGTTTGGCCCATTTACATATATTGTGATAAATGATATAACAGGTCTTATTCTGTGTTTTCCCTTTACCACACTTTGCTTTTTGCTTTCCTCTCGTCGAGTTTTCTATTGAATAATCAATTGTTTTCTTCTGGTTTGAGTGTTATACGTTCTACTTTTATTCTCATGGTACTTGTACCTAAGTTGTAAAACCCACACCTATATTTCTTCTCTCCCCATCCATTTATTAAGCTTGTGAATATGTACATCCCCTCTCTAAGCAAGACAAGTAGCTTACTCTCACTTTCTCATTTCTACTTCCCACCCTCCTCCCCACTGGTATCATTAAAATTTTAGTATCCCGCTGTTATGTACATGTAGTTGGTGTCACCCTGTCTCACTATCTCTGCTCCTTGATTATTAAGACGATAACAAACTCTTTACTAAATTATTCTTTTTTTTTTTACAGTATGCGGGCCTCTCACTGTTGTGGCCTCTCCCGCTGTGGAGCACAGGCTCCAGAAGCGAGGCTCAGCGGCCATGGGTCACAGGCCCAGCCGCTCCGCGGCATGTGGGATCTTCCCGGACCGGGGCACGAACCCGTGTCCCCTGCATCGGAAGGTGGACGCTCAACCACTGCGCCACCAGGGAAACCCTTTACTAAATTATTCTTAACCTTACTTTCTTTGTATCTTGAAGCATCTCCCTCATTTTTTCTCTTCTTGCTGAAATACTTCCTCCAAGAATATTTCCAAGGTCTTACATGCATAAGAGTATTTTTATTTTACCTCATTTACATGATTCTTAAGTAAAATATCAAATTCTAGATTCAAAGTTTTATCTTTTACAATTTGAAGATATCATTACATTTTCTTGTTGCAGTCAGTGCTACTGACAAGTCAGATTTATTTAGTCAATTGTTACTCATTGAGGGGCCACAAAATGCCAGGCACTGCTTTTGACACTTTGGTTTTTGACCCAAGAACTAGACTCAGGCAACTGGAGGCTCCTCACGTCCTCCCTGTCCTTGGAATGTACATTCTGCCCACTGTTCCCACAGTAGGAGTTGTTTCAGGGATTCAGCCTTGAGAGAGCAGTGTGTTGCTGAGAACATCTGGACCTAATACGTGATTGAACCCAGTTAAGGCCTCTGTGTAAACTTTTAAGACTCTGGTGGTTGGGTGCAGAGATCAACTCATCTTGTGGCCGGCCCAAGACAAGGCTCGTATCTGAGTTCCCTTACTAATCCTGCCACCTACCAACATGGATTGTGGTCTGCATCTTTCTTTGGTCTCTCCTTGCCCCCCATGTACAGGGGTCAGTTTCGAATTTCACCCAGGAAATTCCTGAAGTTGTGAACCAACATTTATGTTGTTAGATTTTATTATAACGTGTAATGTCTTTTCATATTTTTCCTGTTTGTCTTTCAATGAGCACTTTCCATCCAACTTCTTTAACCTTTATTTCTCCATAATTTGTGGTTGTTATTTCTTAAAACATGCTCTCCTCTCTGTTTATTCTTTCTTCCCTTCTAGGACTCTCATTATATGAACATCTAGTCAGTTTCTATATTGCTTAACATTCCTTTCACATTTCTCAAGTTTCTATCCCTTCCTGATATCTTATGGCAAAGTAGAGTTCCTTGATCCGAGAGTCCAGCTTTCAAATTCATTCTTCAGTTTTACACATTCTGCTAGTCAATAAAAAATTGAATACTACGACAAGTTCTTGCTTAATATTTCTTATGTCCTTTAACTCTTTTAGGATAGCTTTTTAAAAATACATACATTCGAAATGGCCCACTAATTCTGCCTTATTTGTTATAGATCGTTCAAATTATTATTTTTCTTGTATAGCAATAGAATGCTTCAGATCTTATTTTTTCACTGTGAGTGCACATTCCCCAATCCCAGGATATAAGCTGGTAATGTAGGGACAAAGGGAACCAAAACCCTGGGGTATTTCCTATACCTCCTTCAACTCACCAGGAAGGGAACAAGCTGTGGCTGAATTATATGTATGTATGTGTATGTGGGGAGGGAAAAGGGGCTTAGGGAAATTTGAGTTATTTTCAAAGCAGAGAATCTATGATGTCAAAATTGAGGCAAGACCACTCCCCACTTACCTCCCTCTTCCTACCAGGTGATCTTATCGCACAAGGAACCTCATCAACCCACCTCTTTTTTGCAATAATCACCTGGCTCATGGTGTGTGTGTTCGTGCATGTATATGTGTGTGCATGTTAATGTGTATCAGCGTGGAAGAAAGGTGAATAAAAACCTTTGAGGTGGAGCTGCTTGTATCTTGTATTACTATCCACGCCTCTCCCAGACCATCTCTAAGGTTACCCTGTGTGATGGTGAAAGAGTGGGCAAAGATTTACCTGGGGCAATTTGGGAGTGAACAGAAAGGAGCACCCAAAACAACAGAAAGCACCTCCCTGCAGTCCCCTTGCGGCATCTGGTGCTATCCATTGCTGCTACCATTCCCTCCCCACGTAGACACACACACACACATACACACACCCTGTAGGATCAATTGTAGCCATCTGTCTCCCAGAAGGTCTCCAATCAGTTTTTCAATAGTTTCTCAATCCAACAACCTCCCTCCTTCCAGAGGCATCCAGGTTGGGTTTTGGACAAAGAGCTAGCCACTTACATTAGGATGCTGTTAGCTACCTCCTTCTATATAACAATATTTCTACAGACTTAGTGGCTCAAAACAGCACACACTTATTATCTCACGGTATCTGTGGCTGAAGGTCCGGGCACAGCTTAGCTGGGTCCTCTGCAGCCAGCTGTCAAGGTTTCAGCCAGGACTGGGCTCTCATATGAAGACTCTACTAGGGATGATCCACTTCCAATCACCTGGGGGTTGTTGGCAGGGGTTAGGTCCCTGCTGGCTGACAGTTCCCTGTCATGTGGATTTCCCCAACATTACACTTGCTTCACCAATGCCAGCAAAGAGGATTACCCTAGCAAAACAAGCATTAGAATCATGTCACCTTTGTTATGTTTTATGGGTTAAAAGTGAGTCACAAGTCCTATCCACACTCAGTGGGGGGGTGGATTACACACAGGTGTGAATCCCAGGAGGCTCAGATGATGAGAACCACATTGGAAAATGAGAACTGGATAAGGGAGTGCCTTCTTGTAGGAACTAAAAATCATCTTTCCCAAAGTTTCTGAAAGCCATTGAAGGGTTAAGTAACATCTTATTCTTGCTTTAGAACGATCACGAGCCAGAACGTGTGGCAAACAGATTGGTGGCAAAGCAAACCTGACTTGGGGAAATCAGCTAAGAGACTGGTACTGTAATCCTAGTGAAATGTCGGTGGCTAGAACTAGGGTAATACTGCTGGGAAAAGAGAAAGATGGACAAACTGGAGAATACAATAAATAGGACTTCGTGATGAACAGACAGCGAGAGTTGAGGATATTCTGCTTCTGGCTTTTGCAAATGGGTTTGTGAGCAGTAATATTATTCACTAACAAGAAGAGGGGCATTTAGACATTTTGAGTTTGGGTGTGTGCAGTAACAGAATTAGAGACGAAACGTGCTCCCTTGAGAGAACACCTCCTTTGATAAATCTAATTTTTATGCTTGCAAATAACCTGTTGCTCAAATATGGAGAAACTGGTTAAATCTTTTCAACTCCCCTATCTCACACGTGTGAATTTTCAGTATAACAAGCAGCCTACGGACGCATGCACATCGGTTTGCAAAGTACACCTTTCACATTGTCTGACGGCAAAGGATGAATCTTGGGAGGACAAGAATATGGGGAAAGCCATATACTCTAAGATACCTTGCACTGGAATGATTTGCGTGGGTAGCTTCAGCAGCCCCAAGCGCAGACACACCGACGGACCCGCAACAACGCAGCTCTGCGGTTCACGCTCTCGCGTGTCCGCGGGATCCCGCACTAGCTAAGCGACCGCTACTCTCGCGAGAGGTAGGGGGACCGCAGCTCCTTGGATTCCCCAAACCGCGCTAGGCGAGCTCCCACCTGCTGAGGAGCGGAGTCCGGCCACTCCCGCGGGCTTCTGGGAATCGTAGTTCCGGGGCCGGACGAGGCCCGCCAGCCTTGCCCTGTGCTTTTGCGCATGCGCGGCCCCGCTGGCCAGAGAAGTTCGTAGCCTTTGTGAGGCCCGGTGCGGGAGGTGAGTTGTTGCTCAGGTGCGGCTCTTCTTGCTCGGCCTCGGCGGTGCCCCCGGGACATTAGTCGGCGCCGAGCCGGGTGGAGTGCGCGCTGGAGAAAGGGGCGCCGAGGGCAGGCACGAGCCCCATCCCCGAAGCCCCGGGGCGCGGGGTGGGCGGGGGTTTGGTATGCGCGGCGGCCCCTTGGCTGCGGCCCCGGCGCCTCTCCTCCGGCCGCGCGGCATCCGCGCAGCTCCGAGCGGCAGCGCCAGGCACGAGCGCCCAGCCTCAGGGATGCTGTCCCGGCTTTCCAGGTGCCAGCCTCGAGGGCCAAACCGGTTCGGGACGGAGCGAAGCCTTTCGGAGGAGCCCCCCGAGGGGAGGCGGGAAGGAGGACCACGAGGCCTCGGGGCTTCCCGCTCCTCCGCGCGGAGAGGGCTGCGCTGGGGGGAGAGCTGAACCTTCGCGGCCGGGAGGTGGTGACCATGGAGACAGATATGGCCGAAATGCCTGGGAAGAGCGGTGAGGGGGGCCG